AATTAGTTTCCTACATATTATTGTTTGACAAATTTCAGATCTTTTGCAAAAAAATAGAAAAGTGCAATGACTTGGTTGTTCCATAGAGTCTGATTACATGATAAACATTTTTCATACTAAGAAAACTAATAAAATACTTCCTGTTTCTGTGATATTCATATTAGAGGTGGGTTGAGTAGGTGAGTGATGTTCAATGTATTATGATGCTCCTATTTCATATGTTTTCAGTGACAAACTGCTGTTACTTACATCTTCTCATTTTATAGATGAGGGGGCTGAGGCTAGAGAAATTAAATAATATGACCAAAATTACACAGCTATGAAATGGCAGGGCTGGGATACTCTGATGGGCACAAATCCTAGTTTTATATTCTCTCTTGGTTTTATATTCTCTCAGTATTGCTCTCTTCAATCTAGAGAGAAATGCATAAACCCCTACTCTTTTCTCTACCTGTGCAGCTGTCACAGGCAACCTAGACTAAGGAAAAGAGCAAATATTAAAAAAAAAAAACAACAACAAACATAAGTAACAGGGTTAGTTAATATTTCAAGACTGAATAGCAGGTATTGGTAACATATTAAGCTTGATGGACAGAGTACAAAATAAAAATGATAAGAGAAATTCACTTCAATCTTAGTCTCTTTTTTCATTCTACAAAGTCTTCTTCTTCTTCTCCTTCTCCTTCTCCTTCTCCTTAATAGAAACCTCATCTTTCTTGCTTTCTGGTTTGTGTATCCCTGTCCTTGTGTCTCTTTACCAGACCTGTCTCTGTCTCTGTGCCACTCCTGGCCTGCCCTTCTCTTCTCATTTCTTTTAACCTCTTTTTTCTGCCTCTCTACTCCTTCCCATCTGAAACAGTTCTATTACAGAACAGAGGTGCCAAGTTTTAAATTTTATTAAAATAAAAGGAAAAGCTCCATAACCTTAGTTGCTCATTATTTCATGCTGTTCTTGGTTGATTTAAGTTTTATAAGTCAGTGGCTCTTGTTAGCAAAGTGGTCTTTTTCAGATGTTATTAGCATTGGTGCCTTTGTAGTCTTAAAATCTTTTGAGTAATATCAGCAATATTCATATTAGGAATTATATATTCTCATAGGGACTATCTTTAAATTCTAGATCAAGCATAATAAAATTTTAAAGTTTAATAATAAAACTTTATACAAAATTTATAGTAATAAATTTGTATTCATTTAAATACATCTGCATATTTTTCAGATTCAGAAGGCTTGACTGCACAAATCATTATTGATGCCAACAATGCTGCCTGAGGGATGATCCAATGGCAGCACAGCAGGTAATCCCAAGGCTCTGTGAGCCCTTCTCTAAGCTTCAGATCTTTTACCATCTACCAAATAGAAGTTCAAAATAGGAAAAAAATACTTTCTTTACTTTCTCTTTCTGTTCTTACAGATTTGAAGTAAATGAAACCCTTGAAAGTGTAATATTGGTAGCTCACGGGAGTGAAGGGGCTCTTGGCCATGTGTCCTTGTTTGTGTACACCCAGAATTTGGAAGCACAACTGGGGCTGGATTACATCTTCACCCCAGTGGTAGGTCTTAACATCTATCCCAGATGAAACATAGAAATGAACATGCATTGAACAAAGAACAAGAAAGAGTACATTGGAGCCAACTTTATTTTAAAATTACTGTTCCCTGAGAATTATAGTGACTTATGTCTTACATAAATTAGTACACTATTATATAACCCAATTCACAGTAAATTAGAACAGATTTTCATGTGGCAAAATAATTTTAGTATTTTAGTAAGTAATATAAATTTAGTCTTATGGTAACAATTATTCTGTGAAGATTAATTTTTCTATTGTAACAATTGATATTGGAGAATACAGATCTTGTGTTAAGGAACTCATATCATTAGATGACCTTCTCAAAGTGTTTCTTATCTTGAAATTTTTATCCTTTATTTCACTGTTTTTAACTTACTGAAACACTTTGTGTTTTAAAAACTTTTTACTTTGTTTCTTAGTAACATTTTCCCCTTAATCAGATGTTCAGCTTCTTCTTTTCCTTCATAAATTTTACTTTTAAAATAAAACACTGTCAATTTAAATAAATTAAGATAGCTAATTCTTTGTGTTCGCAACTATATTGTTTCATCCCAAACATTTTATTAAAAAAATGTTTTTTAAAATGATATTATTCCTTTTAACTTTTAATCAGATTCTTCATTTTTCTGATGGAGAAAGACATAAAAATATAGAAATCATGATTCTTGATGATTACATTCCAGAAGGAGATAAAAAATTTTAGCTCATTTTAACAAATCCTTCTCCTGGACTGGAACTGGGGAAACAGACAATAGGTATTTGACAATTTCTTCTCACCTCTTTCTCGTGCTGGTTTCCCTAATATGGGGGAAAGGCAGATTAGAGAGACTTGATGATTTCTACTTAGAATAAAAAAACCATTTTAAATTAGGCATTTTGGAATTCTATGTCAATGTTTTTGAATGGGTATATTTATGTAAAGAACAAAAAAAAAGAGTTAGTTGGTACTAAAGATACTATTGAGTCATTTCCTCAATTTAGAATGTTCAAAACATGAACAGGGAGAATGCAAAAAATATGTTTCAAGTGATGGCTATAAAGAAGGAGGAGAAAAAATAGATAAAACAAAATAAAGGGAAAGAAAAAGAATGAACAAGATAATTTGAATGTGAGAAAAAAAAAGGAGAGAAAGAGAAACAAGTAAAAAAAGAAACAGCTCTCTCTGGCTTCATGATCACCACATAAGCTGCTTCTCACTCCCACACACTCAGCCCTGATGTTCTACCTCACTATGAGCCTCAAGGAATGGAGCCAATCTTCTCCAGACTAAGACCTCTGAACCCATGATCAGTTGAAGATAGTCCTGAGAAAGTAGGAGAAACAAAACAGGAAAGAGAAAAAGGAAAACCGCAGCACAGATTTACAAAACATTATTTGGAGATTCTTAATCTGTCATTTGAGCAGAATTCATACCCAGAATTTTGGGTCCAGAAGGAGCTGGCTGAGCAAATGAATTGCCAAATATCTGAAATCAATATTTGGTTTCAAAATAAAAGATCCAGACTGTGATGCACAAAGAAACAAAGAATGTTTGTCACCAAGAGACATGAGTTCCCTGTCCAAGATCATCATCGTGTTTTAGGTCACCAGGATGCCCAGATGCAGTGTGACAACAGTACCACTACACAGCCCTCTTCCCCACAGCAGGCTGCACTGGAATAAACTGGTTACTTTCCTATGAAGACATGTGGACTTCTCTGTGAAGAGGATGCTCATGTGTCTCAGTGTTCCCAGGCATGAGAAAGGAACCAAGTTGTGCTTTGGTGGGTCAAGGGGCCAGAGGAAGTGAACTTTTCCCAGCTCTGCTCCAGCCACCTACAGTCATCCTGCTTCATCTTTGAAGAATTTGGGGATGGCTATGTTCATGGCATAGGAAAGCCAACAGAGAAGGCCCTTGCCCTTATTCAATGTTGACAGTGTGCAGAGAAAGATGAAGCAGCAGGACCAGGAGCTGTTTGCTCTGTGTAAAGGATAGCAGCAGATGACTAGGGAATTATAATACACAGCTGCAACAGCCCTAGAGTTACCAAGAGAAGCTGTCAGTTCAGGATCCACTTCTAATGTCTCAGAAGTATGAGGATGTAGGGCAGCAGTTGCCCTCCCATCTACAAGAGCAGGATGCAGGTTGTCAAAAGAATGGAGAAGACTCAAGTTCTCAGATTCAGTGCACCATCTCCTCTACAATTAGAGGTGAGTTTTCTTCCAGAGTCTTTTGTTTTAGATGGACAGCAAGTTGCTAGAGAGCAGCCCAAGTCCAACCCAGCCTGTTTGGGATGAGGGGTATGAGGAGTTTGATGACTTGACTTTGCCCTGTGTTGATAGTGTGCAGGGAAAGATGCAGCAGCAGAAGGACCAGGAGCTCTCTGGTCTGTGTGAAGGACAGCAGCAAAATGAATTGGGATATTATAATCCACAGCTGCAAAAGCCCCAGAATTACCAAGAGTAACTGCTATTTCAAGATCCACTTTTAATGTCCCAAAAGCAAGGGACTTAGGGCAGCAGGTGCCTTTTCTTCTACAAGAGCAGGATGCAGATTGTCAAAGCAGTAAAGAGGCCCTGAGGTTGGAATTACAGTTTACATCTCCTCCACAAATGGAAGTCAATTCTCTGCTGCTTCCTTTTGTGTTAAATGGACAGCAAGTTGCTACAGAGTAGCCAAGATCCCCCAGCAGGAATGAGGGGTATGAAGATGTTGATGACTGGGCCAAAATTATAAGTGAAGTACTTGGCATTAAGTTGTAGAGAGTTATAGTCAGAAGTCATTCTATAATCATCCACTTAGTGTCAGGGTTAAGTCTCTGTTTAATCTGCATATAATGATGCTCAGTTCAATAAACTTTTATGACCAAAAAAATTTTAAAAAGATAAAACAAAAAACAATTTTAAATACCCACCAATCCTTCATAGAGCCCTCTTCACCTCCAGCTAATGGAGAGAG